TGCATTTATTGTGGGTATACTATGTTCCCCATTTACTATTATACCCCCTTTACTATTATACCCCCTTTACTATTATACCCCCTTTACTATTATACCCCCTTTACTATTATACCCCCTTTGGTACACGTTACAAGCCTCTTTTGTGCACGCGAAGCGTGCACTCCGGCCGGAGGCGGCGGCCGAAGGCCGCCGCCTCCGGCAGGAGTTTTCCAGGCATTAAGACTCATCGGAAGTCGTTCAGCAGATTTATTTTCAGTTCAAAACATTCTAATTTGATGTCAAAGATGACAGGAATAAAAAATAGTTATGTTGAGATTTTAAAGAAATTTGCATAAAATACTCGCCAGCACTGTTATACGAAATTCGGTAAAAAACCCAAAATCGCCATATTCAGGTGCCTTAAAAACCATGTTAAAATTGAGTTAGAGATCTGAAATTTTTCAGGGCGTCTAGACGTTGACCAAATCGACTGCAAAAAAAGTTTCAGGTTTCAGGAGCATCGGGAAATGGGTTTTCTAGAACCCCTGTTTTACGATAGATTGTCGTGATACATATATATATGTATATTTTGTAGCTGTACTCCTACACATTAAAAGTCGGTGTTGATTAGATCTTCGAAATAAGTCTTTGCATCATTTTATTAAACATCGTTATCTGAGATAAAATTGTTCTAAAAGCAACTGGAATATTCACAAATCTTTAAAATAACTTACAAACTAGGAAAGGAAAACAAGTCTTAGGAAGACGTACAAAACTATGTGACTTAAAACGGTACAAAACTAAAATATACTGAGTAATAATCAAACGAAAAGAATGGCTGCGTACATTTTATCTAATCTATTAAAGATTAGTTTCTCGGAAAAAGCTAGATTTCTCTGAATCAAGCAGTAAAAATATATAAATAGTAATGAATATAACACGTCTCTGATAACAATATTGTAAACTAAACACGGGTTAATAGGCTGAGATCATGTCAAATAAAATAAATAAACTAAACACTAAGCTCCAGCGGATTTAAAAAGGATGTGGTTACTATCGAGGGTGTTCATACCCCCATAACGCTCAAGGGTTTTCAATTGGGTCTGGTAGAACCCCTCTCTAGCTTCCATGGCCTTTTCCCTATCTGCTTGACTTATTTCAGGTTTAAATTCAAGAGCGTCCACTATAATAACAGAAAGGTGCGTACTAAGTGAAGAGTTATATAAGGCTACTGAACTAAAATCTAAATCATGATCAATATCTAAAAAGTGATTTACTAACTTACAACTTCTGATACCTTTCTTAATGTGGCTCTTATGATTAGAAAATCTCTTAGGGAGATTAGAAGTAGTATATCCTACATACGACTGTTTACAAGTTCTACACTCCATTAAATAAATAAGGTTATTACTCTGACAAGTTATATATTTAGTAATAGGGAAAACTTGTTTAGAATGGTGACTACTAAATTTGGAACAAGGGGACAGGAAACTTTGCTTACAAACATAGCATTTTCCACAGGCATGGCACCCTGCGTTGTCAGCCTCCCAAACAGCCGGCAATATTGCAGCGTCTGGTTCAAGAAATTGACTAGCAGTGGCTTCTCCATCTCTATCACTGCTTACAGTTCCACTAGCACGATACTTATTGTGTACAAGCATGCCACCGATAGTTTGATTCTTTCGGTGACTTACAAATACACTGTCAGCACGTACTAGCTTAATCAAGGCTGGATCGAGATTAAGAAGGTGCTTATACTTGTGAATAATGCTCCCCATGTTGGGAAGTGCTGGATTCTGATCCATCACCATGGGTATTAGACAAGTAGTCGTCTCATCCTTATTTTTAGGGGCATACAAGTTTTTCCTATTGGTTATATCACTAAATTTGTTGAAAGCATCGTCTACAATACTAGAATGGTAACCACGGGCTACAAGGTAACCAGTATATACCTCCCTTTGCTCTAAGAAATTAGTGTCTTCACTATTGTTCTGCCTCACTCGCCTCGCCACACCATAGGGTATGTTTTTGAGAACATGGCTCCTATGACATGATGTGGGGATGAGATAGCAGTGGGTGTCACTGGGCTTAGAGTAAAGTTTGGTATGAATAACATCGCCAACAGCATAGACATAGGTGTCTAAAATCGATCTTATCCATCGCACAATCTGCATACTCACATGAGTTCTTAGGACCCATCGCCGCTCCACGCTCCTGACGGTATGTTATACCGTTGAACGAAGCTATGTTGTAATCAAGAGTGATTTCTAGAGCACTAATAATGCATTCTGTACTGAACAATTGATCATAACTACTTCTTTCATTCAGGTGCTTGGTGCATTGTTGGATCCCCATATCCCTGGGGATATATGAATATGTATATATACATATTCAGGGATAGACGCTTTGCCAGTCAATTGTAGCCTGTATTTAAGTGTCCATAGATTCAAAAGTATAAAAGATACAGCCATTTCCGACCACAGGTCTTGCAAATAATTGTTTACACTTTAGTTTACATTGTATACCAAAATTATTTGACGTCATAAACACCCCTTGATGACGTCATCAAGTTAACCGTTTTTAAAACTTGATTTTTGACAAAGTAATAACTTTTAAAATTAATTTTAAACCATTAAGAAGTAATTTTATTCAAAATCTGAGGAAATTTTTACCTTGGATAATTGTTCAAGCATTCTGAAAATCTACCGAAAAGTTTTTCTAGCTTGCTCCTTCATAAAGATATTCGTCATTGAAGTTTGTGCTTTTTTGAAGAATTATTTTATAAAAACGTCAATTTTGCGATTTAGTATTCTCTGGTGTTGGGCCATGCCTTGGGTTGTGGAGCTCAGTTCTGCTTCCTATAGGTATAAATTGTGCATTAGGCTAGTTTTAAAGTTGAAAATCGAAAAGTTGCACACGTGGGGACACGCCCAAATTGATAGAAAATTACTAAAATCACTGAAAATTGCTGTTTTCGTCATTTTCTGTCAACTTTAGAGTGCCGTTGTGATTACAGTTCTTCTTGAAATACTTTGAAACTTTGCATGCTTATCAAGCTATATATAAAACAATTACATGCAAAATTTTACAGCGATTCAGTATTGGATGCGCACGCAACGTCCGCTCAAAGTTTGCACGTGCGAAAGGTGAGAATTTTGCTCATTCATGATTTCCAACAAATTCTGCTTTGCCACGACAGTTTAATGTCATTATATATGAATTTAATGCCAACTTGAATGAGTATTAAGTGGCATATTCAGTCAGTGATCGACCGATATGCTTCCCTAACACCTAAACACAAGGAAATGTTTTTAAAGGAAAAATTTCGAAATCGTTGAAACTTCCTCCTTATTAATGAAGATATCAGTTTATATTTCGACTTTATAAAGTACCCTGACATTATAATCAAAAAGAAATGATATTTTACCAAAACCCATAATCATGGGTAGAGTGGACCGCTGCCAGTGTCTCTCTTTCCCAAACAAAAGGAAATGATATTAATTTGATTGACCGTTCTCAAATGCAAAATGATACCGAGAATGAAATCGGTCGCTCGCTTTTCCCATTCATTTACAATTGTATAATAGATTAAGAAGAACTACCCAAAGGCAGCTGTACTCGGCAATGAATATTCAATAAACTTCAACTTGTTCAATAAGTAATAATTACCACCCTTGTCCCTTACCCCGAAATACTAGGTATCGACCCGAACGCAACCCAAAGAGATTTTTACAGCATCTGATTGATGTAATCAATCGAAACTTATTTATACAATTCGTAAGCCGTGAATGAATGGGAAAAGCGAGCGACCGATTTCATTCTCGGTATCATTTTGCATTTGAGAACGGTCAATCAAATTAATATCATTTCCTTTTGTTTGGGAAAGAGAGACACTGGCAGCGGTCCACTCTACCCATGATTATGGGTTTTGGTAAAATATATACATAGTAATAAAAGTATCGTTGCCTAAAACTATATTAAATATTTAAGCGAGCTCGATTTTTACCTGGGGACCCCAGGTTATCATGTTCATAAACGAATAGAGATTAAGCGGAATGACCTAGGCTGAGCGCGGCCCAGTAATAGTTTGTTGTTCTGATTTCACAGTTACCTGGGGACCCCAGGCTATTATGTTAATAAACAATAAAGATTCGGCGGAATGACAGGCTGAGCACCGCCCAGTAAATTTCACAGTTTGCAGTTGTCCGCTTATGAGTATCACAGTGCGCGGCGTCATTCATTTTTGACTGAATTCAACTTTTAAAATAATGATTTGAAGTACGTATCACACATGCAAATTTTTGAAAAATTTAATTTAATATGAATTTGATTGTGAAATCACAGTTGTATTGCATATTGGTGATTGGTTTGTAATGTGTCATTTTTGATTTGGCTATAAATATAATATTGAATTGAACCACAACATACAACTTTTTGATTGACGATGTCAATCCATCGAGATCGTTGCTCTGCAATGCATCGAGATCGATGCGAAGTAAGAATGCTAGTTTGCGCGGCGCGTCGAAGCGGCGAAGTCCTCCAAACAACTTCAGACCTTACGTGTTACGTACCATTTATACTAATATCACCTTTTATCTTAACTTGAGTATTACTGTCACCAAGATGTAAATTAGATCGAACGAGAAATTAGATCGAACGAGAAATTACAAATTAGATCGAATTTGTAACAGTAACTGTCACCAAGATGTAAATCATATCGAATTGAAACGCCGTTCGCAGTTCGATCTAATTTCTCGTTTTATTTGATCTAATTTCTCGTTCTATCTAATTTCTCGTTCGATCTAATTCCTCGTTCGATCTGATTTACATCTTGGTGACAGTAATCAAAAACTCAAAATCCGTTCATTTTATTAAAATTAATGTTTCACTGCTTACTATATTATAATACTACCTATAATTTTTTTAAATTTCGAAGTGAATCTTGCGCCGCGCAAGTCGATGAGTATAATAGCGCGCCTCATAACATAAACGCAATTACTAGTATTGAAATTAGCGTTGGATAAAAATTGGCCAATCCGTGCGGACCACATACTCCTTTTGAAAGATACTTCTCGCGGAACTTGCTCAGTTGGAGAATTAGTGTTGTTATTTTGCATTTCTTCTATCATGGCCCGTTTAGTTTTAGCCTTGTCAAGTCTACTACTAGTAGTATGTTCAGACCCCACTGTGTACCTCAGAGAAGACTTTGCAGGTAATCTTGAAGTTCTGTAGTCTAAAAAAAAAAAAAAGGAAGCAACTCACGGTATCACTCTCATAAGAGACATGTTTCATCATTTACCGGAGTTGCAACCAAATATACACAATCAGGTTTGGTACTCTATCTGTACCTCCCCTTTCATATAAATAATAGCAAAAATATACACCTATCTTTAAGAAATCAACATTTGATATAAAACATTTGATCAACCAAAATTAAGACAATTTTCCTGTTAATAATTTAACGGCACTCATAAGAGGTCATACTAGGTATAAGTCCAAATGCTGTGTCAGCAACCGTTTTTGTTACTTTCTTTTCTTCTTGACTCCTCACACCATGAACTGATACCACTATGCTTCTGTAGTCTTCTGTAGTCTTCTGTATCACTATGCTTCTGTAGTCTTCTGTATCACTGTAGTCTTCTGTATCACTGTAGTCTTCTGTATCACTATGCTTCTGTAGTCTTGCAATTTGCAAGGAATTTGTATTTTCGTGACTAGCTTCCCATTTCTCTAACAGTTACGTAGTTCGAGAAGGATGTGTTTTTCCTTCTTTTTGACTTGACATCGCTCACTTTCAGATGGAGATGCTTGGTCAAGCAGGTGGATCCAATCTGAACACGAGGGTAAAACTTTCGGTAAACTCGGACTCAGCGCCGGAGAATTCTTCCATGACGAAGCTAAAGATACAGGTTTGAAATTTATTTTAAACTCTCATCATCTACATCTCTGTTTCTCTGCGAGCACTTTGTCATTCTTTCCCTTAAAATATATTAGTATGGTCTACGATTGTGATAATTGAAACGTTTCAGGTTTGAAAACTCTGGAGAATGCCCGATTTTACGGCGTCTCCGCAGCTCTCACCACCCCAGTGGAGAGCACTGAAGGCAAAACACTAGTCGTACAGTTCAGTGTAAAACACGAGCAGAAAATAGACTGCGGAGGTGGTTACCTTAAACTCTTCCCTTCTAGTCTCAACCCTACAGATCTCCATGGAGACGCACCTTATAACATAATGTTCGGTAAGTTTCTTAACAATTACAATTCGCTTCTTTTTAAAATGATGAAGTTTGGTATATCATTTACATCCCCGTGCAGCAAGGATCCCGAGTAATAACTTTAGTAAAACCACACTTAACCATTGACTTGTTTTAAACTTGTTTCGTAGCTCAATTCTAAGGCGCACTGAGTACCTTATTGAAATTATGTTATAGAGTAATATTAAAAAGTCTATGCCGTCAGAATTTTCTAGATTTTATCCCATTTGAGGATGTATATTGTGTAATGACCGACCCCTAAATGCCATCAAGCCAAGTATGCAAGAAAGCAGAAAAATCAAAATCAATCAACTTGTTAAAAGTTTTAGAGGCAATTTCTGATTTCACGCACCATGCTTGCTTCTAATGCATTAAATCATACTCTGCCTATATTAGATTTCTTTTCTAGCCGCAGCCAAGTAACATTTCTTTAACATTTAATGCTCAAGGTACGTTTTCGAAATCTTTACTACATTATTTCCCTTCTACATGACCGGGGAGCTAGTCGGAATGCAAAACTCAAAATAAACGTGTTCTTACTTCTCTCGACTATCAAGTATCAGTGAAGAATCTATAGCCCGCCTTTTTGTCAAGCAGTTGTTTACAATGCCGCAGCTATGCGTTTATAAAAAATAATAAGTAAAGCACGCAGAAATAACTCTCCATCAAGAGTGAAGTTTAATGGCCTTTTAGTCTCTACCCAGATTATGACATGTTGCTGTGATAACACAATGACTATGAGGCGTTCCATTTTTTAACATAACATACATTCTCTTAACATACAATTATCCAAGTTTATTATAGCATATTATTAGTCAGTAAGTTTACAGTCGACATTTCGTCGTGATGCACGTTCATGTAGAACTAAGAAATCACAACATATGTGGCCGACGTGGAATTAATTATGAGAATTTAGTTGCTTCTTAAGATCAACACAGAAGACCTAAAATAAATAGTATAAAACGTTGTTGTTGTAGCGATGGGAGTGTGTCACATAATTTAACTCATTTGGGAGTTTGGCGGTATAATATTCGATGTTACACGTTATTTATCGCACTAAACACGTAGCACAGTGTTACACTGCAAGTTGGTGAGCTGTACAGCTGCACTAGTTACTACCCGGTAAAGCTTAATAAACTACCATATCCTTCTCACCACGCAACCTGGCGCTCACTTCCTCGCTCCTTATATGGCTAGACACATGACCATATAAGGAATAAACACTTCTCACCCGGGCTGACATTAATTAGTTTAGAGCTACATACAATAGTCCAGGACATCTGGTAAAAACAACGTGTGCACTGTGCCCCCACTGTGCTGCTAGCTGCCACGTGTTTAATTGACAATGATATATAACGTGTCCTTTGTGGGGTGGAGGAGGTCGCTAAACTACGTGTCTTACCAACAGGGCCACACATCACACAGTGGTTACCAGGTTACTTGTACAGTGGTTACCAGGTTACTTGTACAGCGGTTACCAGGTTACTTGTATAGTAGTACAATGGTTACTTGTACAGCGGTTACCAGGTTACTTTTATAGTAGTACAATGGTTACTTGTATAGTAGTACAATGGTTACCAGGCAACTAATTCACTTTACTTTACCAATGGTATACACTCCTTTATAACTGTAGTGTTGCTAAAAGCGGAGGCTTGATGTGGCGTACCTTGTAAAGTCATTGTCATGGTAACTATTGGGGGAGTGGTATTATCTGATGTAATGAGGTCCAGGTCTTGTTTCACCTGATTAGGATATATTTCACATCGTTAGGATTGTTGTGCTCAGCCTCGGTTGGGATATATTCATATGCAGTACATAAGGGGTAGTTAAAAAGTGATAATCAGTTTTACACAATGGAACGATATAGCTCTGAGTTACACAACATCGTATGATGTGGTGAGGAGTTGGTATATTAATTATATGAGCACTCAGAATTAATGAATTAGCCACTATTCAGTATTATATCTGAGATATCTAAGACTCTGGTCTAACATTTTCCTATAATATATTTCCTTAAAAGTGGGTAGGCTAAACTGTGCGTGTTATCTGACAGCTGTCGAATACTCATCACTATATCATAAACTAAATGGACTAAAGAGTAGTGTTGAGCAGAATAACACGATTTCTAATGTACAACTGTGTTCTCATTAGATATGAGCAGAGCGGACCAACTCTGTAGCTTATCTCGTTTATTAAGCTGAGTTACTCCTAAACTGCTACACAGTACACATTGTGTAACCGCGCACTGTACTGTGTATTTCATTATCTCTGCAATCTACACAGTACACATTGTGTAACCGCGCACTGTACTGTGTATTTCATTATCTCTGCAATCTACACAGTACACATTGTGTAACCGCGCACTGTACTGTGTATTTCATTATCTCTGCAATCTACACAGTACACATTGTGTAACCGCGCACTGTACTGTGTATTTCATTATCTCTGCAATCTACACAGTACACATTGTGTAACCGCGCACTGTACTGTGTATTTCATTATCTCTGCAATCTACACAGTACACATTGTGTAACCGCGCACTGTACTGTGTATTTCATTATCTCTGCAATCTACACAGTACACTATCATCCCATTTCGTTATTATAGTGCCCATATAATAGTGCTGTCTCAACGCAATGTTCTATTAGAGCATTGTAAAGTTAATTTTATTGCAATTTTATCAGACATCATGTGCTACTTGCCAGTAATTTAGATTTTAGACTTAAGGGAACCTATGCATGGTAGAGCACAGCAAGGCCGACCAAGACAAAGCTACTTGTCTATGTTACTGAAGGAAGTTGGGACAAACTCTAAAGAGGAACTGCGAACCCTGATGCGGGACAGGGATATATATGGAGGGGGTTATCTGGCGTAGATCGGACTTAGTTCCGACATAGTAGTAGTAGTAGTAGTGGAGGTAATTTACAGTGGCTACATTGCAGTGTACTGTAAACATAGTGGCTAGTGATCTGTCAGTTACTATCACCTTATACATGTTATAATGTATGTATAATGTATATTGTAAATAGTATATACATGTTAAAATACATGTTATAATGTTGTCTTATTCTGGTTTATTTAAACGCAGTGTTTTGTGTCACAAGACACAAGTAGAAGGTATTTGACAGTTATATGCACTGTATACTGTAGTCTGTATATGTATGTAAAGCTCCACTGTCAAACTCAACACATCCTCTCAAAATGTAGCCTATAAGAGAGTGTTGTGATATCGCGCATCCTGTGTGTAATTACATATGCTGCATATTAAATCAGATATTCAGCTAGACTAGAATACACTAATTAGACGATAATAACACACTGAGTATGTAGTTTACTTAATGTATACCTAAACCACCACCTGATATACAACCTACCGTAAACACGTGTTCCTCATCACGCGGCACCCGCAACACGATCTTATTGTAAGTGTTATCTGGAATATGGTTCCTATATAATGCTACCTTACCCCTTATAGTGTCATATATCGTGAGATAAGGAAAACACAAAGCAAAGCAATATTGCGTGTCTCTTTAGATTCCGTATCTTGCCGAGTTAGGACAAATTGGATTACGGAGCACAGAATTGTAGGTTTAACCGTTTAGCTTGTGTCCCGAGCGGTAGAATGGAAGCAAGAAAAGTGTTTCTTTTTATTGGCTAATACAGTTACTGATCCCACTTAAAACTATTCCTTCCCATGTTTTAGAATTAACAAAAATATTTATAGTGCTTTATAAGCCCACTATGTAATATTACAAAATATGCTCATTTTATCCGTATCTTGCACTAAACTGTATATAATTTCTTAGTATAGCAGTATTCTGTATTTCTGTGCAGTAACCACAGTTGTTCTGGTTTTTAGTAATTTGTGAGATTACCATTTCATTCTGATGAGCACTAAATTAGCAGGAATTGCTAGTGTATACTGGATTTAAAGAAAGTATTACAATGATATAATGTTGCAGAGTCTATATCTCTATTGTAACTAAATTTAACTGTTTCTAATTTACTGTGTTTCAGGACCCGATATCTGCGGCCCGAGTGCCCGACGTGTACATGTTATCTTTAACTATAGAGGAAATAACCTACTCCTTAAGAAAGAAATCAGATGCAAAGTGAGTATTTATGCAGTTTTTTAGGTTTACTGTTTTTCAAATGAACAATTCGGTAAAGAAATTATTATAGCAATTATACATACATTGACCAGTCAATTTGAGAAACGTTTGCATTGAAATTGAGGCTCGATTTGTACTAATTTTGTCGGATATAAGTCTACGACTTATACATATAAGAGCAGCGCTTAACCTATTGACTAAAGTTGTGATCGGTTACATGTTCGATATTCTGTATTCTGACGAATTTTCACCTTTGGCACACAATTATAGCATCCGTCACAATATTGTGGAGTTTTACTGCGTATTCGTCGCGCGCAGCACATTTTATGTAGACCGCGCACACTCCTTTCTAAACTTTCACGCGCGTTTATATCGCGCGCTACTATTCTGGAATATTCCAGGTTTTAGCTTGACATGACCAATATTTCGTTATTTCCCAGGACGACGAACTAACACATTTGTATACTCTTATCGTACGAGCTGATAACACATACGAAGTAAGAATCGATAACAAGAAAGAACAGAGCGGTAAACTAGAGGAAGATTGGGATTTCCTGGAACCAAAAGAGACCCCCGACCCTGACGCTACCCAGCCTGAAGATTGGGATGATAATCCTTTCCTTGACGATCCCGAGGACGTAAAACCAGAGGTTTGTACTTTTCACTGCGCGTGTTAATCTGTAAATATGTTGACTGAGAACATGATCAAAGTTTGGGTAACAAACATTTAAACTTTAAAATGATTTAAAAGTTACAAAGTTTTGAAGAGTCGTCCTTGTTTCAGGACTGGGAACAACCCGAGACTATTCCCGACCCAGACGCTAAGAAACCAGCTGATTGGGATGATGATATGGACGGTGAATGGGAACCCCCTGTTATTGATAACCCTGATTTCAAGGGAGAATGGAGACCAAAACAGATCGATAATGCTAACTACCAAGGAGAGTGGGAACCAGCTATGATCGCTAACCCTAAATACTTCGAGGATGATAAATTGTATCTACAGAAGGACATCAAATATGTCGGAATTGATATCTGGCAGGTAAAAACAGCTAACACAGTCTTCCATTTCTTGTGATCAAATTGTGAATCACATACTTAGCAGTAAAATCTGAATCGAGCAAAAGTTTTGCCAGTTCCATGAACTTTTCACGTCCACGCCCATACCCTTCAGTACATACTGTAAACATAGTACTATTAACCATACGTCTTGGCAAACCAAACTGTAACTAAAAACTAACTGTTTATCTGCAGGTAAAATCAGGTTCCATATTTGATAACATTCTTATAACTGACGATGAGGACTTCGCCAGAAATGTTGCCAAGGAAACATTCGAAGAGAGCGCTAAGGGCGAGAAAGAAAAGAAAGAAGAAAAAGACGAGGTAAGATTGCTATTTTTACATCCAATGCAAATGTGTAATTTTCCCGAAATTACAAACTATTTCGGCTATTCTTTCTCCGACAGAATTTAGTATTTATGACCTCTCCTCCAGATTGAGAGGAAGAAGAGGGAAGACGAAAGAAAAGCACGTGAAGCTGAGGAAGCAGCTGCAGAGGCTGACGTAAGAACTTTCTAGAACATTTCCCTTTTATTGTACAAATTGTACTAAAACTTGTATCATTTATGGTACGGTATTTGTCACTATACAGTGTATAGTCTACACGTTATTATTACTCTCGCCGTGGTGCTAGATAGGAGAGATTGCTGATCCAGGATAAAATATTAAGCAATCCCTTAAAAAACTCAGCACTTGGTTTCCTCCTTAACACCTTCCCCCTCTTCAGGATGAAGAAGAAGATGATATTGAAGATGACGAGAGCGCATTCGCAGAGGACGCTGACATTGAGTCAGCTGGAGCTGGTGACGAGGCTACGGACCCTGAGGAGGAGGCTGAGGTTAACTCCATCAAGGAGGACGTCAAAGACGAATTATAGGATGTTTGTTGATATTATATTACTAAGTTTATCATGGACACGAATCACCAGTAATTTATATTTTTATACCATGCCAGTCCACCTTATTTACTTAAAATAATATCTTGACTATTGGGGAGAGCTTATTTCGGTAGTAAATATTTATGGACTTCTTTCGACTCATTATTTATATTCTATTTAAAACCTCACATATTCTTTAAAAACCTTGGTTTATATTATCAGCTTATTATGGCGTTTGTAGCAGGCCTATAATCCTACGTTTATACGTTAAATTGTTATCTAGTTTAAAATGGATTTGACAATAACCAACTGTTGCTAGGTAACTAGAAGTTGTTTAATCTTTTGAGTATTTGATTTTGTTTGCCGATAAGTATGCAATATTTTTTGATTCAATTTACAGTTCAACTGACGTTAATTTAATGTGGAAATTCTAGGATTTTTTCGTTTGTCCCAAAAATTACAGCTGCCAAAAACTATCATCCAAGCTGCCGCCCGGTTGACATGTGTTATGCCTCAATAAAATATTTCATCTAAAAAGATTACCTGGGGACCCCAGGCTATAATTTTCATAAACATATAGATTTGGCAGAATGACAGGCTGAGTGCCGCCCAGTATGTAGTAACTATTAATTAAATAGATACTGTTATTGTTACTGATTCATCAGAAAATCACAAAGTGGTACGGTGAGTGAACTGATTAGATGATATTCAATATTGGAAAAATAGTTCTAAGGGTTAATTCACGATGTCAATCCCTCGCGGCTCGGCGTGGTCCAGTGGTGCATTTCATCGAACTTATACCTCGTATTAGTTCAACTAACGACAAACATTATTTGATGCTTGACACAATGACACACGTAACAACCAGTGGCGTAACGAAGGGCCCTGCTGACCCCGCTGTGCAGGGGGGCGCCGTCTTAGGGGGGCGCCAAATCGTCGTTCGAATGTGGGACAATTTCGAAAACTTAACTTAAGTACTAGCAAAACTGTGCGTTTTGCTCTAGATACACACTTTTTTAGAGATTTTACCGGCGTATCCTCTTAAATCGCCTAATTTGTTCAATTTTAGGGAGGGGCACCAAAAGGAGAGGGGCGCCAACAGGGGGCGCCTTTTCGGCAGGGGGCGCCAACAGGCAACGTTACGCCACTGGTAACAACCCCTTTTCGCGCGCCTCCACCCGCAAAAGGCCGGCCGGCCGGAGTAAAGTAAAGTGCACGAGAAAGTTATACAACGTGTAGCAAAAAAGCCTATGGTAGTGCATCGCACTACATAACAATAATAATAACAATTCTAAACTAGGGTTTGTAAACAGTGAATTTTGACGCATTGCACTTACCAATACCTGGCTTTTACCTGAGGACCCCAGGCTTTAATGTTGTAGAGATTAGGCGGAATGACAGGCTGAGCGCGGCCCAGTAACTCCCCCTGGGCCCGTATCTCGTAAGAACCTTCGTAATTGCACTGCTACAATCTCTATAGTAGGTTTACAACCTACCAGGACGCGCGCCGAGTTATGGCGCGCGTCCAATATATGGAAAAAATATTTTACGAGTATCACCCGTGAACAATCTCAATCAAATAAATTCGACCTTACCTGCGAACTGAGTTGGTGCTTGACCATTGTTGACCATTGTCAATGGTCTGGCGCGCGCTACTTCGTAGCACTTGCTATCATTTCGAGAAGATTGACGATGTCAATTCATGGCGGCGCGGCACAGTAGCGCATCTCGCCGATCTAGTAACGCATTGCGCTACAAGGTGAAGCACAGTGGTGCATTTTGATGATCTACCGGTTGCAAGAAGAATTATTTGATGCGCGGCGCGGCCCAGTCTAGTAGTGCATAGCGCTACAAAGATTCACCTAACCATGTGCTTTCGCGCCACTTCGGGCGCGCTTGTTTCACAAGTCTCACGGCGCCCGCCGTGAGGCAGGCGCGCGCTACTGCAAGCGCAAGGGCTCTAGATAGAGCAACTACAAAGATACTCGTAAAATATTTGTTTCAAATAGAAGACCGTCGACGAGTCCAATACGGCTTAACGAGTAATACTCGTAAAATATTTCGTCGACGAGTCCACTCGGCGCGCGTCCTGGTAAGTTATAGTTATAAACCTACAAAACTCGGCGCGCGTTTGGTAGGTTATAAACGTACCTACAACAAAAATTCTCATCTAGAAATTAGAAATCAACTATTTATTGAGTGACAATGTCAATTCTTCACAGCTCGTTGTAGGTTTATAACCTACCAGGACGCGCGCCTAGTTGGACTCGTCGACGGTCCTGTGGAATATATGGAACCGATATTTTACGAGTATCACCTGTTAACACAGCTCGTAGCTGCACAATAGTGCATTAACTAGCGTGCTAGTCTATTGCTCGCTCCTCACGTATAATGCAAGAAGCTCACTACTCACGTATAATGCAAGAAGCTCGAAAAGAGTGCTGCGTATTCAGTATTGGGATTGGCGTGACAGGTAAACAATAAAAGGTATTGCTTTGATTTTGGTTGCAATTAACATTTTTGATGCCTGGTGTGGCCCAGTTAAATACTTCATTGCGCTACAAATTCTACAAGTCAAGTGTGAAGAGCGAATTTTGAAGATCAGCGTATTGTGATTAGCGAATTACTTAATAAGTATCAAATAACGGAGTAGTTCGCTGTTTATTAGTCTCATGATTGAAATACTGATATCTGGATATTATCCGGTTGGAAGAGACAAGGACAAGTGAAACAAGGAAGTTAGGAGTAAGGGCAAATTTTCAAATCCTCTGGAAGCCGAGTCATGGGCATACTAACAGGGGGCGACCTTACCTAACACTACTAGATAACCTAAAAGCAGATACTGGGCTGAAATTAGTAGATGAGATAGCTAGACTGATGGAGGACAGAAAGCTGTGGAGAACTGTTGTCAATGGATCTCGGGAATACTACCCGCCTTAAGTCAAGTAAGTCAAGTAAGTCACATAAGGCTCTAAATTTATATCTAAGTCTGCTATTTTTACTGCACTACTACTTTTCAACCTCTTTCTCCTCAATAGAATCATTTCCTACTAAGAGCAATGACTGTTCTCAATAGGTTAAATCTTACCCTTTTTTTCTAATAATATACTTTGAAAACTGGCCACGGGCCTAAATATTACAGTAAAACAAAATTTTTTTCTAATCTAATCTTAACATTTAATTACCAATATCAAAAACTGTCCAAAATATCTAAGAAACTATTCTCTAGCCAAAGGGGTCAATATTTAAATCTAAATCTTCAATATTGTCTGGTTTCCTGATAATATACTCAGAAATACTGTCCTTCAAGTAGTTCATAATGTGTTTTTAGTAAAACAAAATTTACAAAGAATACTGGTCAGAAATACTGGTCGATAATTTAGAGGATCTGCTTCGACCCTTTCTTCAACAACTAAATATGGAAACAAATGCTGTTTTCCATGTTTCAGTTAAGTCACCATATATTCAACACATCCCTTAAATACATAACTGCATGGAAAAATGAACTCTTTTCAGACCACGGTTTTTATATTGCATATAAATTGTACTGTACTTATTAAGTACTGATATCTGGATATTATCCGGTTGGAAGAGACAAGGACAAGTGAAACAAGGAAGTTAGGAGTAAGGGCAAATTTTCGGCGTCAACGCCATCTTCAGGCTAAAATTGTTATAAATGTTAGTATATAATAAATGCTTCTATACTAGTTAAAATGCTAAATTAAAATTTACACACACTGAATACAGGTTACATCAAATGGTATTGTACATTACATTGAAAATAGTGATGTACACATGTTTTACACTCTGTCCAAGTACATAATATCTACTGAACAGCAGGGTCGTGTGCTATTTGTTTAAATTTGTCTTTGAATATGTTGTAAAAGAAATCCCTTAAGCTTCTCGCACTCTTCTTTGTTATTGATACTAGGTTTAAATAAATTAATGTAGTAAGCTTCTGTCACTTTACGTTTAATGGTGCTATATAAGTTAATTTCTAAAATATCGAAGGAAATATCTGGTTCTATGTTATCGTGAAACTCTGAATAATGAGCAGCCAACGCATTATCAGGATAGGTTAAAGGCCTGTTGACTGCTCTTCGATGCTCTGAAAATCTATCGTGTGCTGTTCTACTCGTTTCCCCTATATATAGCTCTTGACATAATTTACACGTAACTTTGTATATGACACATTTTGGTTTGCAGTCGTGATTTGTTGTGATGAGTGGACATATGATACAGTTTGGTATGGTGCAGTGTGGTGAAAGTAATGTGTTATGGACAGAGATAAGTAGGATGTGTAATTATGACAGCAAAACAGTAGACTTATTTAAATCACATAATACCCAACTACCGACTATTTATTTAATACAGAAAACTCATAAATTTGATTGTAATGTCTTAGTTTCAGATGTAGATATTATTTCTAATTGTAAAATACGTCCAATTGTGTCTTGTATAAATTCCCCTTCTGAGAAGCTTGCTTGGATTGTTAAATCTATTCTATCTCCTCTGCTTAATCATGTTCCATCTCACCTGAGCAATATACACACTCACCTAGAAGAGCTTCAAAACATGTCACATCAACAACTCTCAGGTCTCTCATTCTTCACAGCTGACGTCACAGCACTGTACACAAACATCAACATCAGTGGCTGCATTCAAGACCTCATTACACTCACCGAAGAACATTGGGAAGACCTCGACACCTGGGGTCTAACACTCACGCACATCCACAAGATCCTTGAATTCGTCTTCACCAACTCATACTTTACATATCACTCAAGACTCTACCTCCAGAAAATTGGTCTCTTCATGGGGTGCCAACCATCACCAATAGGAGCGATAGTACGAGTATATATGTTCGAGAGAAGATCGATTTACACTGATTTACACGTCTCATTCTACCGGAGATACGTGGATGATGCCGGGAGTCTAGCCAGCTCCAAAGAAGAAGCTCTGAGGATAGTGGAGTCCATCTCAAACGAGGACCCAGACCAGTTGCTCAAATGGGAAATTGACTATCCGGAAAGCCGTCAGGATTTCACCCCATTCCTCGACACCCAGATAAAGATCGACGAACAGGGAACACTACACCACAAATTCTACAGAAAGAAGCAGAAAAAGAATATCACACTGCACGCCAACAGCCACCACAATGAGGGAACTAAAGTAGCCACAATCAAGAACTTCTACAAAACGGCTGCTTTTTGCTCATCAACACCAGAGTATAAAGAAGAGTCCATGAAGATAGTAGACAACTTGTTGGTCAACAACGGTTACCAAGACCCACGACGTATAAACAAAACAGGACGACTTCACCCTCTCTCACCTACAACACGTCATAACCCTTCATCATCAAACATACAAGATACCGACCACGTAACATGCACTCTACCATTCATCAACGAGCCATTTTCCAAAGAAG